ATGTCAGGAATGGAAATCAAACCTCATTCTTTTGGCTCTAAATTCATTTTGCTTCTTCTAGGCCTCATGACCACCAATTTCTAGAAGTCCCTTTCCTCCTCTCTAGTTCAATCACACTTTCCCATAGGCAGGAAGGGTGTTCCAATGCAAAGGTGTCTGTATTCCTCCCTTTCGTAATGTATTAGCATAAAAATTTGTTCAAGGAATATGTATTGACTGCTTGTATTTGGCACTCAAGGAAAGAAAGCAAACAAACAGATAAAAAATAATCCCTGCCCTTGCCCAGGCAGGTGTGGCTCAGTTGGTTGGAGTATCATCTCATATACCAAAAGGCACGGGTTCAATTCCTTGTCAGGCTCATACCCAGGTTTGATCCTGGTTGGGGCAGCGCAGGAGGCAGCTGATCAATGTCTCTCTTCCTCTCCCTTCCTTTCTCTAAAATCAATAAAAATCATGTCCTTGGGTGAAGATTAAAAAAAAATTCTCTGCCCTCATGAAGCTTACAGTCTAAGCAGCGGTTCTCAACCTGTGGGTCGCGACCCTTTCGCAGTCGAACGACTCTTTCACAGGGGTCGCCTAAGACCATCCTGCATATCAGATATTTACATTGCGATTCATAACAGTAGCAACATTACAGTTATGAAGTAGCAACGAAAATAATTTTATGGTTGGGTCACAACATGAGGAACTGTATTTAAAGGGCCAGAAGGTTGAGAACCACTGGAAGGAGGCAAATAATAAAATAAACAAGTAGAGTATATTGCATGGTAGATGGTGATGGGGTTTATGTGACTATCTGAAACACACACGCGCGCGCACACACACACACACACACACACACACACACACACATTCCAGGGAGAGACAGAGAAAAGAGTCAGTGCCAAAGCCCTGTGATGGAAGCATGTCTGTGTGTAGGTGAGATAGCAAGGAGGCTAGATAGCAAGCAGAGCAAGATTAGGAGAAAGAATATTTCTGAGAGTGTTAGGGAGCGCAATCACGTAGAGATTGAAAGCCCGTGTAAATACTTTGGCTTTTACTCTAAATAAGATGGGAAGAACTTGGAAATTTTATGCAGAAGAATGACATTATTTGTCTTGAATTCTATTTTAAAACAGTATTAAAAATAGATTATAAGGGGGAGAAAGCAGAAGCGGGAGATTAATTAGAAAGCTATAGCAACTATCCAGGAGAAAAATAATGATGGAGTAGGCCAGGTGGTAGTATTGGGAGTAGGAGTTGGAGTCTGAGTGTATTGACAGAGCAAACAGGATATATTGACAAGTAGGATGTGAGATGAGTCCACAGGATGAATAAACAGGACAGAGAAGGCATGGGCAGGAAGCCTGAGGAAAGTCAGCCTCATTTTTCATATCTGCAAAATGGGCTTAAATATCTTCCCGACCTCACAAGGCTCAAATGAATATGATGTTTGCACAAGAGTTGGCTTGCTTAGAATCGAATAATAGCTCTGCATGACTTTGTGCAAGTTCATTAACCTGAGCAACTGTGGTGGGAAGACTGAGGTCAAATCTGGAATGTTTTGAGAAACAACATTACAGTTGTGAGAAATTAATTTAGGAAGCTTTATTTTTAAAAAGTAAAATTTCTTTCCTGGTAAGTTAAGAATAACAATAGAGGAAAGTTGGTCCAAGAAAAACTATTTTAACCAAAGCCTAATGAACCCTAGTTGTAACATGGATTTCATGCTCTTTGAACCTGTGTTTATGAAATGTTATCTACTTGGTGATTAATACATTTTTACCTCTTCCCCCTTGGAAATCCTCACTTTCAGTTTTAATTTTATTTAAGCACAAAAGTTTTATTTTTTTTTTCTTTTCTCTGTTTCTAAATAGGTTTACCACCAAGCTGGAATTTTTCTATTTTTTTTTTTAATGAGACAATTACGTGATTGTGTTATTATTCTAAGTGACTCAAATAATTACACTTTTCCCAGTCTGAATATGCAAAGCTTAAGCTGCTTCTTTCCAACTCAGAAAAAAAACACACTTTAAGATAAGTAGGGAGGATGTGGTAAGCCTGCCACAGAATGAGAGAACAGGAGCCAGATGGCAAGACTGGCGCTCCACAAACATCTGGGGTCTGCCAGCTCTGAGTCAACCCTTCCGCCTCCTCTCTCCATTCTTTTTGACCCTCCCAAGTCCTGTCCATAAAAACCTACCTATTCTAATTCAAACCTCTCAATATCCTGCAAGGCAACTGATAATACATTTAATAAACCAATTTAAAATCCAGTTATTAGTGATTGAAGAAGGCTTAGTCCTATTACTTTCAGCAGTTTAAGAGAAACTCTCAGAAAGGCAATGGCTGGAATGTTTAGGCACTTCACAGAGAGCTATTTAGTAAGGAGTTCTTCCTTTAAGAAAGACTCGAAATCTCATAAGGTGCTCTCCTTTGCCTATACTTTAAGTGAGCAGTGTTCAGTATTTTTTTTTTTTTTTGTATATAAATGATTAAATCTTTATTAAGCAGAAGTAGAAACTAGGAGAGAGTGAGACCTGCCCAGTCTAAGCTGACCTGTGTAGAGGTCCTAGGGGAATAGTGAGGAGCTGGAGAAAGGGTGGGAGGACTCAGGATCCTAAGAACAATCTTCAGGACTGTCCAGGGTGCTCCCTTTGTGTATGACCTGGCAGCTGTAGCTACGGCTAGATTTCCACTTGTCGGATGTCAGCCTCAGGAAGCTGCTGGCTGTGTACTTGTTGCTCTGTTTCAAGGGCTTGGTGGTCTCCACATTCTGGTGACAGGGCTGCCATTTGCCTTCCAGGACACTGGCACACTGCTGGGATGCAAGTCACCGATGGGAACACAGTGGCCAAGGTTGTAGACTTGGGCTGACCTAGGACCAGGAGCTGGGTCCTGTAGCCAAAGACATACCACAGTGACTGAGGCTCTGACTAAAACCCACCAGGCCAGTACCTGAGGCCTGCCCCTCAGGGACCAGTCTGGAACAAGAACCTACTGTCCCTCAGACTCTAAAGGCTACTTTCTTCCCAGGTTTGGGTGGCTGTGGCCCCGCCCAGCAGCATCAGCGGCCAGCACTGCTTAGGGCCAGAGCTGTGATCCCCTGAGTCCTCATTTGGCCTGTCCTGGGCCTCATCTACCTTCAGGGTCAAAGACACTTCTGGCCTGACCTTCAGCATAAACCCCCTGGAGAGTGTGGGTACTATTGGCAGGCACCCCCGGTCCTCACTGGCAGTGGCCATCCAAGTGCACCCTGGCCTGAATAGTCCCATCCCCTGCCTGGGCCTTCCCTGGTGTCTGCCCAGTGCCTGGTCCTCTCCAGGGTTGTTATCCCTGGGGATATTCTTTAGTGTCATCTGCCAACTGTCCTGCTGTTTGAGATCCAGAACTCAACCATGTCCCACCACAAACCCTGCTGGCCCTGCCCCTGGGTTGCTGGGTGGGGCACACCCGCTCCTGCCATCTTTCTCTGGCTCTGCAACAGTGCCTCTGGTCTATAGAGCATCTCCCTGGGGCCTGGAGAGGCTGTGGAGGGCAACTGAGTGGCTAGTGGACGAGGAATTGAGTTCTAGGCCTTCTTTTCTGATCAGGCCCTAAGGCTGGGCCCCTGCACACTCTGCTCCTGCCAGTCAATCTCAGCCCCTCCTTGGCTGGTTTGGTCAAGCCTGGTAGGTTTGGTCAGCTCTTCACTCGGCTTCTCACCTAAGCAAGGGTCCTTCAGGGAGTCATCTATACCCCTCACTCAAGGAGTAATGTCAAGCTCATGAATGTTGAAGCCACCCAGGCCCAGGTTTCCTCTGGACCTCAGTTTCCTTATCCATGAAATAGGGAGTTTCCTTTGCATCAGGGAGGGCCTGATGAGATCATGTGTCTGCTAAGCGCCAGCACATAGCAGGTGTTGAACAAATACTGGTTCCCTGTCTACCTGCTCTTCCTTTGAGCTTTGGAACAACTTTTATTGTGTTGTTGAGCCAAGTGTCCTTGTTTTACCGGGGAGAAAACCAAGGCCCATAGAAGATGAATGTGAGATTCAAGGTGGTTTCAGGATGCACGGTGCAGGGTGAGCTGGAATCTAAGAGTGAGCATGTTCCCTGCATTTCCAGCCCTTTTCCCACCTGGAAGGCTTGTGCTTTGCTACCAAGGGAGCCAAGGTTTGGGTTTTGTTGGGCAGGGGTGCAAGGGCAATGAGTTGCACAGGAGCTTTGGGTTGAAGTCCACTTTGAAGCCCATATACATATGATGATGAGAGTGATGAGCAGTCTTCAGTATTATGCCTGAGACCTATTCAGGAGGTCCATAAAGTCAGAAGTAAGTCACAATCACACCAACACATTATTTGCCTTTTTCACTCTCATTCTCTCACAAGTGTGCGGTGGAGTTTCCCAGAAGCTACATGAAGTGTGATGTTGACATCACTCTGACGACTAATAGAATGTGGGCTTGTACATTTTTCTTTTTAAAATGTATGTTTTAATTTCAGATATGGCAAATATCAACATACAGAATTCACTTTACAAGAAAACTCTTTGGGGGTATTCAATAATGTCTGTAAGTGTGGAAAGGGGTCTTAAGACCCAAATATTTGAGAACTGCTGCTTTAAGTTATCCTGCCTGATCTGGCAGCTGAGATACCAGAAATATTACAAAACCAGAAACAAAGTGGTAATTCCTACTAAGTTCAAAACTGTGTGAGGTTATCTGTTTGCAAAGGTTGGTATCTAAAAGCAAAACAGGAAGTACATATATAAGGATGTGCTCCAAAACTGACCAGGTCATGTCTAAAGGACACCAACTTGAAAGAGCCTATTGACCAGATCAGGAACATCTGTCTACGGCATCTTTAAGGGGTGAGAGGTAGAGGGGAGCAGAAAGCTTCATACCCAGAGGAAAAATACAATTAATTTATCATTAATGTCTACATTTTCCACAGTTCCCAAGACAATATCATAAACCAAATATTTAGAGTTCACACTTTTAATTCTTCAGCATATTATACAAATGTAAGAAATAACACAGAATTAAATAACATCTCAATAGTTTACTAAATATATAAATATTCAATTCAACAGTGAAAACAACTTAAGTTTTAGTTTCTAGATCACTGGATAGAGACAAGAAAGTCAAAGATACTGAAAAAGTCACTAATTTGGCCTTATGATTATTAGAGAGTTCCGAAATGTTCTCACTAGTTAAAACAATATATTTAGAACAAAGGGAATTGTACACCCAGACATGCATCCACTGCTACTGTGAAAAGTGAACTCATAGGAAAAGAAGCTAGGAGAGACAAAGCATTTGAACTGGCCAACTGCTATTTAGGAAATCTAAAAGCCTGGATTCATAATATATTTTCATTATACGTACTAGTCTGAATTCAGAATGCCTAAAATAGGGCTGGGTCATATTATGAGACAAATGGGCAAGGAGTGCATGCATTTTTTAAAATGTGAGCTGCTGTCTAAGACTAGCAATGTTTATTCTGCTATAAAAATAGGCAAGTAAAGTTAAGCTTGCCATGTTGTTTCACAATAAATTCAGTCCAATTTTCATTGTGATGTCACAGAAATACATGAAGAATAGCAGTGAAACCAAGGGTTCTAGAGAGACCAGCTATTAGCAAAGCAGTAAGCACGTAGTGGATTGGATACTAAGGGACAAGGAAACAGATTCATGGACCTATGAACAGCAAGAGAAGAAGAGATGGAACAGCCACAGAAAAGCAAAAGGTAATCTCAGAAAAGTTCTTTGGTCCTTAATCTTCCCAACTTCTTCGCTCTTGTTCATGTCTTTTCCCTTTGTTCATATCCCTCCTCCTGGAATGACATCAGTTTTTAGAGCAGAATGGCAAATTATCTGGTCCAACTCCTTAATTTTCTGGATGCCATGGTGGAAGTTCATTGAATAGTGATTATTATGGGGTTGCCACCAGTCTCCGCCAAAGACAGTCTCAAACTGTGGCTCCTCATGCTAAGTCCAGTATCCATTCAATAGCACAACACTGCATTGCTTTACAAAATCAATCCTACAACAGACCTGAGAGGTAAATGGACTTCCTCTTGGAATTCGCACAAGCACGAATTAGCTTAGATGGCAGTAGAAAGTCTTGAAATTCTTAAGCCTTTTACTTCCACCTCTTTTTCTCTCATAGGTCCCTGGAGAATAACCCTTTCACTCCTGCTTTCTTCCTGCATCAGATTCAAGTAGACCAGAGAATAATTTCCAGAGTTCTGCAGCTCTCCTAGGGCTCTGGATAAGAGAAAGATCAAGATATTAACTTCGCACATTTATAATTTCTCTCTTAATAGATTTTAAGAAAATAATCATAGAATTCTCCTTGTGCAGATTTCATCAGCAAAGATAAGGAAATAGACATTCTTGACCCAATATGATGTGAGGGGACTATGACTCTCTTTAAAAAGATATATAGGTAATTCTAGGCAATAAAGGTTTGCAGAGTCACTTAAGACTAAAAGGAAAAGAACATATTCAAGAATTCCAAGCAATTTAGGTATTTTATACATAAGACCCTGAGCTTTGTTTCCTGTGGACATTAAATTGCTGGATGGACATTGAGTTAAGAATGGTCATTGAGTTAAGAAAGTAGATAAATGGAGATCCTTTAGGCCAGTGGTTGGCAAACTGTGGCTCGCAAGCCACGTGGGACTCTTTGGCCCCTTGAGTGTGGCTCTTCCACAAAATACCATGTAAGGGTGCGCATGTACAGTGCAATTGAAACTTCGTGGCCCATGCGCAGCAGTCAGTATTTTGTGGAAGAGCCACACTCAAGGGGCCAAAGAGCCGCATGTGGCTCGCGAGCCGCAGTTTGCCGAACACTGCTTTAGGCTATTGGCTTGCTAACACAGAAACTGGGAGGACATGGGCCTCCCTACAAAACATGTAGACAGTGAAGTAAAAGACCTGGAATTTTATCTTGGCACCATCACTCTGTATCTCTCAATCTTAAGTATTTCTTACAAAATCCTGAAAAATTTCTGCATATCCGAACTTTGCTATTATTACCAATGTGAGCTGTCTGTGGCAAAAGACAAGAATGGCTCAGGCAAAAATGCCTAAGCTTAAGGGTCTGTTAGTCATAACTTAGTGGTCAGATTATACCATGAAATTTGTATATGATGGGTGGCACCCATCAAGGGTAAAATTTTATAGAAAAAAAAAAAGTGGCTTTGAAGTGCAAAATTTAAGCCAGGAATTCTGACCTAGGAGTTCAATAAAAGTTGCATAATACCTTTCTTATAAAAGCATTGCATCCTTTCTTCTTAGAACTATGAGGAAATTGGGGTAGGGATGAGGATTACCACTCATCCAGCCCTCATCTGGAAAGCATACATACAATTATTTAGAAAAACAAAGATTCTTATTTTTTTAAACAAATATTCTTTGTATTGCCTTTACAACATATCATCAATTTCACTACTACAAATTGTTTACTGGTCACCTCTGTTATGTGACATAGTATTAAGCTTAAAATAGGAGAAAGGAACATAATCAATAGGAGAAATTAACTAACATTGCCATTTTTATCATTGCAAAGAGCCCACTTATATATTTAGGTTATTGTATAGTGAAGTGAGATAAATCAAGGTAATTATGTAGAAAATGTGGGTAAAATAAAAACACTTCTACATTAAATAGTTATATTCTTGAAAAAAGAGTGATGTTTGGAACATGCACTTCATATGTTTGTCTAAATTTTCTATTGTTTTCCAGTTTAGTCTTGACTCAATGAAACAAAACACAATTGCTAACTCAAAATTAGGTGATTGTTTATGATGATCTGCCCCAAAGTAATGTTTTTGTTTCTGAGAAGCATGTAATCATTTTGGATTGATTAATGAGAAATAAAAGATCATTCTCAGCCCCAATTTAACTTGATTGTAGTATATATAGAAGGGACAAAGATATGACCTAAACTTGATTTTAAAAGTAATAACTATTGTAGAATGGTGGAAATTTTCCCTGGGAAATTTTAATTTTTTCTCACTTTCTATTTCAGTAACAAAGGACTTGATTCATAAAAGAAAAAAAGTTCTTTGAAAACCTATTAACCTATTATCTTATTGTCGCAGTCTCATGGGAAGTAACTGCAATGATCCCATCAGGAATGGAGCAAAGAGAAATTGCCTCTAACTCATCACACCTTCCTTCAGAATGCAGCCTTGCTGTTGAAAAAAAGAAAAATCAAAATCATACTCTCTGGCATCATACAGAACCACAAGAAAAGTAAAGGGAGTCTAACTTCTCTATAAAACAATAGCAGTTTTTACAGATTACCCCTCTGTCCAAAAACTATAAATTTGCTAATGCTGTTGTGAGTAATCAAGAAGTGATTTTGATCTAAAATAAACTTTATCTGACAAAGAGTTGAACCTTACTTCATATAATTTCCTTACCTACCAGATTTGTCTTCCTACTGATCAACTCCATGGAGATTATTCTTTGTCTACTTATCCTATATAATAAGAGTGTAGTATGCAAATTTTCCCCTCAACCGGGAGTTCATCCAGGAGTTCGACCAGCGGGCAGGGCTGGCCAGGGGAAGGGAGGGAGTACCCGGCCTGCAGCCGGCAGCTGCTAGGGACCCTACCAGTGCATGAGTTTCATACACTGGGCCTCTAGTATTCAATAAGTTCAAGAACTCAAATCATTCCTGTCCTCCTCTTCACAAACTGCACACACACATGCATTAACATACACACATACAAACATACTCAGTTCCCCCTGTATGTCTGTTTACATCACCCATTTTCAGGTCAAGGCATGAATCTTGATGACATTTTCCCTGCTCATCCATATGTTTTAAGTTTTAAGGAGATGATGGGGGGGGGGAAAAGAGGAAAAATATAACTAAAAGTAAGAGGAAAGAAAGGTGGGAAGGAAATTGATACTTTTATTACAGAATTTGTTACTTGAAGAAATAAAAATTGATTTTCTTTCCCTTCTTCCAACTTTGTGCAACTTAAATTTTGATCTTGAACCAGTATTTCCTTAGCCTTGAATGTTTAAGTCTCAAGCATAATCAATACTTGGTGGTTTGATTAGCTATTTAAATTTATGGGATCAAGTGATTTGGCTGCTAAAATTTTTGAAATCAAACAAAAATTCCAATCAGTCAAAATATGCCACTGAACATGCAGTGAAATTAAACAAATTGTCCCTTATATCATGAAGACATTGTCAGTAAATGGCCATCCTAGTTCTTACAAGATTCAAGACAGGTTCAGTTGTTTATTGTAGTCCATTTTATTCATGATTTTGCTTTCCACAGTTTCAGTTACCTGCAGTCAACTGCGGTCTAAAATATAACATAGAAAATTGCAGAAATAAACAATTCCTAAGTTTTTAAATGAAATTTTTTGGTGACATTAGTTAATAAAATCATATAGGTTTCGAGTGTACAATTCTATATCATCTGTGTATTACACTGTGTGTACACTACCCAAAGTCAAATTTCCTCCCATCACCATATATTTGACCCCCCCCCCATACCCTTTACTACCTAAACTTTGCACTTTTTCGAGTAGTGTAATGAAATCTTGCACAGTCCTACTCCATCCTGGATATGAATTATCCCTTTGGCCACCATATTCACACTGTATGTACTTCCTGCCCATTAGTCACTGAGTAGCCATCTAGGTTATCTGGATCAACTGCAGCAGCAGGTATCTGTTGTGCTTGTGTTCAAGTAACCCTTAATTTATTTAACAATGTCACATCACATAACTTTTTTATATTTTATTTTTAGATATTGTTGTCAGTTTCTTACTGTGCCTAACTTATAAAGTAAACTTTGTCATAGGTAAGTATGTATAGGAAAAAACATAGAACCTACAGAATTCAGTACTATAAGTGGTTTCTGGCATCCACTGGAGGTCTTGGACTATATCCTCCTTAGATTAGGGGAAACTACTGTATTTCATACGTGAGAAAAAAACCTGGGTACAGAGATAAGCTAGCTCTTTTGTTTCAGGAACTGGATAAGGCATTGAACAATTATATTTCCCAGGAAATCCAAGACTTAGTTAAATGAACAGAGGACAATTCTTTTGCAAATGCCCCTTACTGGTGGAATTCACCTTGGGCTTGAATAGATTGTATTATGATTCTTGTCCAAAAGGGACTTTTAGGAATAAACGTGAACACTTTATACTTTCCTGCTTAAACTTTCCAAAAGAATATAGCAGTAATAGCAAGCACAGAGTAAAATAAGTGCAACGTAGTGTCTTTTGAGTCAGGACTCTGGGGCACCATGAGTGAGAGAACATTCTGGCAAAGGTAAGGGGCCCAGGGAGGCCTAAGCCTGCCGTTAACTAGCTGTGTGACCTCAGGGAAGAAAATCAACTTTCCTTTCCTGGGCTTCAGCTCCTAACTGGAAAAGTAAAATGTTTGGATGAAGTAGAATCAGCTTTCTGCTTCTGACATTCTGCAAACTGCTAACGAGGTCTATGGGCTTGCTGATCTGCAATCTCCTTTCCCTGACAGAATAGATACCTTGATCTACTTCTGCAAAGGGGTAATTGACACAAGATTTGTTACTTTTCTTATAAAACCACAAGAATTTATCTGGTATTTATAAAAAGTCTTATACAAAATTAAGTGTTCAAAGAACCTAGAACATGAGATATTAGTCTATGAGACATAAAATGAAAAGAAAAAAATAAAGGTTGCATTTGAGTGAGGTTTTTAACAGACATTCTAAAATAAGCTAACATATTTTTCCATCTCTTTCAGTCATCTGAGATGGAGAAAACTCCCATATCACCCCTTCACCCTAGGAAATTCCCACCACATTCAACATAAAAAAGCAGCTTTGCATGAGCGTTAATAAATCATGACTGTCTTCAGAAACCAAAGAAATTTAATTCTCTCTCTCTAGCTGACTCCTCCTGTTCCATGGCATCTCTAGTTTTATAATGCCTCACTATGTTTTAGACTCAGTGCTTATGAGGTTCTGAATTTACAATAAGAAAAGGGAAATTTTAAAAAGTCAGTTTGAAAATTTACCCTTCTATCCATGCATGTATTCATTCACTGTATTTTAATGAACATTTATTGAGCCCCCTGGTATTCATAAGACACTGGTTGGGAATAGTCTATTAAGGGCAGAATGACATGACATAGTTATAAATATGGATCACCTATATGCTGCTTATAATGTTTGAGACGTAGTGAGAGTATAACACAGAAATTACTGCTTAATTATTGACCATTTCGGACAATTTCACAGTCTCTTAAATGGAATAGCGGGCCTGTCGAATACTGTAAAAAGAGAAGAGATTGTTCCTCTCACTAATGGATAGAAAGGACATAGTATGGGTGTCAAGCTTTTTTCTCTGGTTCTGTCATCAGATGACTTCATAGTCATCAGATAAACATTTTCCATTCTCCTCTCCTCAGCCCTTCCTCTCAACTTACCAAACAAGTAGCCTTTGAACAATCTCAGCCAATCACAAGCAGAAACATCCAGTTTAATGTCCAATTGCAAGAAAATGATGCTGTAGGGTTATGGTAAAATGCCACTAACATTCATGTATTTTGGAAACAAGAAACAAAACACACTGCTGCCATCTCCTTATTTACATCTTCATGGGACCCCAAGTTATCATTCAGAAATCATTTGTTTCCTTCTTTCTACTTTCTGTGATAACTCACCTCTGTCTTGGGTCCGGTGACGCTTCCAGTATAGTAAGATTGAGATTAAGATCAGAAGAATTACCAGGGAAACAATACTTAAGAGCAGTGGAACTGAAAACCAAAAGCCTATTGAAGGGAAGAAGAGGAAAAACAGTCATAAGAGGAAGCTGTTGAGGAAAAAAGGATAAAACAATAATTGTGATGAGTTGTTAACAGAGGTAAGCTTTCAATGAAAATTATTCTTAACTATAGACATGTTGTTTTTATATTTATGACATATTATTTTAAAAACATTTAGATAATAATAATAGCTAACATGTTTTATGTAGTTGCCATATAATAAGAGCTTTTAATGTATTATCTCATTTAATCCTCAAAACAGACTGAGTTAGGCGTTATTATTAGCTAATATTAAAAAACAGGCTCAGAGAAGTTAGGTAAACCAAAATCAGCATAGTAAGTGGTAGAAACAAGGCCTGTTCAGAGGTCTGTTTGCCTCCAAAGCACATATTCTTTGTCATACTTCCCATTACAGTAATATATTTATTGAGAGAAATATGAAGGGAAAATCATTATAAATGATATGTTAGTTTTGGTATTCTTGGAAAAGAAGATATGCTTCTTTTCGGATTCTTGTTTTGCAGGAAAATTTACCCTTTGCCTTAGCCGAGTCTGAGGTTCATTTAAAAAATGTCCAAATCTGCCCTAACTGGTTTGGCTCAGTGGATAGAGCGTCGGCCTGCGGACTGAAGGGTCCTAGGTTCGATTCCAGTCAAGGGCATGTACCTTGGTTGCGGGCACATCCCCTACTGGGGGGCAGCTGGTCGATGTTTCTAACGCTCTATCCCTCTACCTTCCTCTCTGTAAAAAATCAATAAAATATATTTTTTTAAAATGTCCAAATCTGACATCATAGACCTTTCGATGACATTGACCTAAGTGTTGACTTATTGCTAAGTCTATTTTTTCAAAGACTCCAGAAATGTCTACAGGAGATTTTCCTTAGAGGCCAGGGCGCCAATGAGGCAAATTTGGGAAAGCTTTTTCAGGTTTTATTGTTTAAAATGCCCCCTGCACCCCCCATCCCCCAACAAAAAGTAGCAGTATTTTTCTAGAAGGCTTATTACCGAGTGCCTCATCCAAGTTAGTGCTTCCAAACTACAGAGAAAGAGAACAGTGGCTGTTATCACTCCTCTCTTTATTCTCTCTCCCATAACCTTACCTCTTGTATCCACGAGGCCTGGGGGTAGCAGCTTAGATAGAAACATAAGAAAGCAAAAGGGGTCTTGAACAGGAGGCAGTTTGTTTAAAGAAGGAGAGGCAAACACCTCACCAGTCCCTTTCCCACAGTACAGATTCTGCAAAGGTTTCAGCAAAGATGTCTTCTTCCAGGAAATCTTTCTAATCTTCCCAGATTGAGCGGACACCCCTCCTTCCCACCTGCAATCCTCCCATGGTGCACCATAGTTTTCTTATGGAAGCAGTTAACATGCAGTTTTACAACTGCTCAGCCACTTTGGTGTTTCCTAGTAGACTAGACACTCTCTGAGTCTTGCTCACTGTCAGATAGCCTGGCACAGACAGTTAATGCTAGTGTGGGAGAATAAATGAATGAATGGATCTCGGCATTTGGTACGTGGGCACTGTGCCACATTCACCAAAGTAACATTGGCTTGATTGGCTCCCTCAACTCTGTTTTCCTTTCCCTGTTTAACCCATTCTCTCCTCTATTAGCTCTTTTGTTAAGAGGCCGGGAGGGTCCACAGAGCAATCACCACCTTCCAGGTGTGTGCACAAGTGTGACCACAGCCATCTTTGCCCACCTTCTCTTACCTTTGTTCACAGGTTGACTGAAGTCTTTCACAGTCCCCAGGTGTAACACCTGGCAGATCACCTCCTTCCCCACCTGATTCTTGGGGTCTTTGATGTGGAGGACACTGATGACAGACGTGGTCCCATTGGGGTGTGTGATAATCTCAGTACTGTTGTCCATTCCTGACCCAGCGACCTTCCAGGAGATTGCAGGGGCTGGGCGGGCATTGGCAGAGCAAGTGACATTTAGGTGGTCTTCAGATAATTTATAGTGAAGGAATACTTTGGGCTGCACTGGGACAAAAAAGTAAAAGAATGGTCTGCCATCAGTTAAGCACCTGTTCTGAGTTTCACACTCACCTCAGAGAGATGACAGGATGATTTTTACAATAAGATAGTTGGGGCTAGAAAGATAAGGCAGCACACCCCAACCCCTGCTGAGGCCTTCTCGGTTCTACCTGTGTCCAATTCTCTGACCTGAGGGATGGGGACCAGCCTGGTACAACCCTGTGACAAGAAAAATCATTTCTCTACTTTGTCTCTAGGTGAACTAGCTGGATGGACAGAGGATATCTTCTCTCTCAAGTAGTACAGAGCCTCATGTTTCTGTTCTCCTTTGTCATGGGCAATGCAGCATCTCTGCCTTTTCCTCGGTACCACTCACAAACGAGCACCAACGACCATCAGTGAGCACCGCCGTACAAGTGGCCTGCATGTCTCAGAAGCACAGGGCAGTTTCAGAGCAGAGAGCCTGGAGAGGGACTGCTGCTTAGTGATAGCAGTTTTCTGTTTGGAGCTGAACCAGTAAATGAGTTGCATGGAAGAAACCAGGAAAGTCCCTGTTGAGAATATCTACACAAAATAAAAATTATGAATTCATAGCCAATAACCAGAAAATCACAGAATGACAGTTGAGGGAACTTGGAGATCACCTTATGGAGTTAAAAAAATAACTAGCTTAGGAAAAAAGGACGTTATTTTTAGGCCAGCTTTACACTGTTCCCTTTTTAAAAGTCCCTTGACTGATAAGTACATTTTTGTTGGAATGCAGTTTATCTCTTCTGAACAAATGCAGACCTGTCTTTCTGTGGTTGGCTTTGTAGCCTACAAGATAATTAGAGGGTGATGCTAAATTAAAACTTGGTCTGTACTTAGAGGTTCAAGAGATGGGTGGGTAGCAGCGGGCTGAAGGAAATAGGGCTAGAGAACTGTGGCTCTATCCAAAGAATGCCTAATTACTAACCTTTTTGAGCACTGAAAAAGAATAATAAAAGTGAAGGCAGATAGTTATGGTTGATGTCACCAGACTGGTGCAGGGCTCTCTGGCATATAAAATAATGATAGATAAAAGCTAAGTGTAGCTGAAAAAGGTCAGTATAGAAAAGAACAATATTACTAGCTAGAAGACTCAACAGATAGGTTTTCAGACAAAAATAATATAAAAGGCTATGAGCAAAGGAGGGGGAATAGCAGAAAGAGAGAAAGATGAGCAAAGAAGAAAGAGAAGAAAAAGGAACAGAAATGAGAAACATATGACACAAGAAGGAAAAAGAGGAAAGATAAGATAAAAGGAAGGGAGGGAGGAGAGGAGGGAGGGAGGGAGAAAGAGAGGGAGGAAGGAAAGAAGGAAGGAAGGAAGGAAGGAAGGAAGGAAGGAAGGAAGGGAGGAAGGAAGGGAGGGAAGAAGGAAGGAAAGAGAGAGGGAGGAATGAAGGGAAGGAGGAATAAAGGGAGGGACTAAAAAGGAAGGAAAGGTGGAAGGAGGATTGCAAAGGGGGGAGACAGAAAGAGAGAGAGAGAGAGAGAGAGAGAGAGAGAGAGAGAGAGAGAGAGAGAGAGACTGGGGGCGACAGAGAGAGTCAGTAGAAATGAAGAACAAAGCCTGACATAAGATTCTGCAGAGACAATTTATTTTAGCCAAATTAGTGAAAGAAAGTTGTACTTGGTTTTATCATACTTCCCTTGCATTATCTTCTGAGCCCTTCTTACCCTATGTTCAATATTTCTGGTGTGCTCAAACTCTCATATTAACATTCCTAATAGCCCTCAGTTTGTCTTTTCCCTCCTAAAAGCACCACTAAGTGTGCCATGCTCCAAAATTCCCCCTCATTTCTACTTCCCAATTCTTGATTTCAGCTATGTGTTAGTTAATAGGAAAGGAATGTTATCAAACTAAGACTTGGATTGTTTTTTCCTCTTGGAAAAATGCCAGGTCTAATGTCAGTGCCAGATCTGCACCCTATCACTGTGTATGTGGAACTGGTTGTCTTTACCTGGTCCTTCATTTGCTCCTGCTGACCACAGGACTCCTCGGATCAAAGATAACACCAGGCAGAGATTCAGTGTGAGCTCATGAACTGTCCAATAACCACAGCCACAGTTACAGCAGACATGAAAGTGTCTTCTAACAAACCTTTCTGGGGGTAGGACCCTGAAAAACTAGGTGCCACCATGTTCTAAACATTCTTGAAAATAGCATTTCTAGTCAGAGGCAATGTATTCTCAGAGATTCTCACCAAAGAGGGTGAGGCAGGCTATTCCTGACATCTTCCCGGAACCGAAGGTATTGAAGAGACACTTGTAACACCCTTCATCGTCCAGAGTGGTATTCCAGAAGGTGATGGTTGTGTTCTGAAGTCCCAGCTCAGTTATGTTCATCTTATCCTTATAAGCGGGTTGGACCACGACCCCATGCTCCTTGCTGAAAGTGACCATGTTTTCTGGGCTTGAAGCCTTCATTTTCTGCCATGTCACAATCACGACTTCCTGGGGAGTTTCCAGGAAGCATCGTAAAGAAGCTGGTGTGTTCAGCGGCTCTCTTTCATCTTGGGTCACCACTTTTATCATGGAATCATAAAAAAAAAAATTAACGCACACATAAATACACATTTTTCTGATTAAAAACAATGCATGTTGAAAGTCAAATATAGAAAAGAAAAAGTTAAAGAAGAAAACATTTACCTACATCTCTAATGTTGCTAGGGAAATATAAGTTCAAATATGCTTTTTCCATCTTTAGAAGTAACAGAGTAGAAAAATAAGAAGGATAATTCTCAGTAACAAGAAATAGTGTGAAGAATCCCATCCCTATATGCTGGAAATTAGGTGGAATCAGGTTGAAGGTGGGAATTGTCAGATAGGAGAGAAACATTACCAAGTGGATTTATGCCCAGAGAGGTGGAAGCCAGGAGCAAGACGAGCAAATGGACAATAGGCAGAGTGATTAGTTTAAATAAAGAAAATGTAACATCCCTATACATGTCACACACACACCCAACAAAGGAAGGAGCAGCAATTGTGGTGTCTGCATCTAGGAGGCAGTAGTGAATAGAGCAGTGTAAGTTACAGAGATACACAGGACGCTGTTCCAGGAGGCTGATAGTGGAGAGAACTTTGACACCAAATGGCAATCTACACATTCCCCCATTTTTACTGAATGCAGTATAGAATATAAGGCATGGCAATAATTTCCCTCCCTCCAATGCTGGGTCCTCTTACTGTTATGATCAATTATTCAGTGGGAAATCTCAATATAATGACAAACAGCCAAACATTTGAGAAAGCTAATACAAGGAAAGAGGAATAATAAACTTTACAAATTCAAGAATTTATACCAAATGAAGGAAGATCTCATAAATCAATAAACACTCGGACAAGAATAAATGAGATATCTGAATTGTAAGTAGTAAAAATTAGAGATGTAGAGAATGAGAAATACAAAGTCTTAATAGATTGGCTGACTTAGCAGAATGGATATCACTGAAGAGTAAATGAGCAGGTGGAAAGACCAGGTCATGGAATTCTTCTAGAATGTAGCACAAAGGAAGAAAGATATGAAAGAAATTAAATAAAAATTCAAAAACCTGAAATGTTTCAACATCAGTTCAATAAGACTTTTAAAAAAAGAGAAAAGAGAAATTGGAAGTCAAAAACACAAATGTATTTTAAAACAATAAAAGAAAGAATCTAAAATAAGATACCTTAATCATAAACCTCTATGCACCTAAAAAATAATCCAAAAGTACATAAGCTAATAGAACTATATTTTTTATAAATCCATAATCATAATGGGATAGTTTCTATAGTTCTCTCAGAATTTTCCCTTCCATATATTAAAAACAAAATAAATCAAAAAAGTCAAATATAAAAATATAGAAAATTTAAAAAGCAAATATTTATATATGTTATATATCTACACTAATAAAAGAGAAAGATGCAAATTAACCATACCTTTGTGACACTCACCAGCCAATCAGGAGTGAGTATGCAAATTAACCCAACAAAGATGGTGGGTTAATTTGCATACACAGGCACCAATCAGTGGGGGGCGGGGTGGGAATGCTTGCATCATTGCCATGGTGATGACACAGGCATTCTGCACCACCCCAGCCACTCTGGGCCTCTAGGCAGCATGGGAAGGCAGAAAGGCAGCTCCAGGGTCGGAACTAAGGCAGAAAGGCGGCTCTGGCCTGAGCGAAGGTGGAAAGGCGGCTCTAGCCCGAGTGTAGGCAGTGCTGGCAGCCAGGGGAAGGAAGGCCTATTCTTGCATGAATCTTCATGCATCAGGCCTCTAATATATATATGAATTTACAACTTTTTACCCAAAAGAGAATATCCAATATTTTCTAAAACAAATGAAACAGTTCCCAAAATTGAACTTGAAATGGGATTCAAAAATTATGCTATCCAATGACCTGAACATTGAGCCCAATGCAATAAAATTAGAAGCTTATAAGCTTCTTTTAACTAATTACACCAAAAATAAGAGCAAGAATTATAAATTACTATGAATGACATTGGGAATATAATATATTAAAATCTGTAGAAACTGAGAAAGCAGTTCTCAGAGAGAAATATTTAATCCTAACTTCATTTATTAGGAGACAAGAGAGATTGGAAAATGAAAACACACACAAATCTAAGCATCCCCACCCCCAAACCAGAAAAAAAAGTAAAAGGAGTGAATTAGTAAAGATAAAAGCACAAATTAATGAAATAGTACACAAAATGTGGACTTAATTAAAAATACCATAATCTATTGTTTCAAGACTAACAAAATGTTGACTAGTGTAATTAGAATAAAAGAAGTCAGCACAAGCAAACAATATTCTCTCAACAACATCAGGCAGAAAAAGATGGACATAGCAACAAATACAATTTGGAACCCATGAGTGTTGTATGAATCCAGTTTTAGTGAGGTGTGTTCTTGGTAGGTGTGGAAATTTCTGAGGACAATACCTGTTGTTGGGATTTTGCAAATCAGATATTTGAAGAAATTGCTGCTTTTAGAATGGAGAGGAGAAAGGGATCAAAGCTAGAGTTTTAACTTCCTGGGTGATTTTTCTCTTTCGCTATGAAGAAACCATTTATTGGAAAGCTTGCAATTCTTAACTGCGTATATAGAATTCCATTTAGATCCCCCAGTCAGTAGGTAAATCTGTGTTGCAGGTGATGCGAAGTCTGCCCTTCCTTCACCTAGGAAGGCTGATGAGTGTGCACTGTCACACAGAAGGTGATAAAAGGCCAGCAGCAAAGCGAGGACTGGCCTCCAATGGAACAGAGGAGAAAGGTCTGGCACAACTAGGAAATGCAGCAGATACATCAATAGCACAGGCATATGCTTTGTATAATAGACTATGTGAACCTATGTAACTTGTATATTTCAGCATTTTCTAGATTTTTCTGTAAAAGAGGGGCACACACAGTTTTAAGGCTTACTATCAGATTACCTTTCCAAAAGGTTGTATTCATTCATATTCCCCAAGCATTCCCATATCTTTACAAACATAGGTAATTATTGTTTTAAAAGTTATTTGAGTTGATATGTAAGAAATATCTTAATTTAGAATTTTTTTATGCCTGGCTTTATTTACAGAAACAATGTCTAAATAGCAGTTTTCAAATACTTTGCAAAGCAGAAAGAACTGCTCCCACTCCTCCAGTCAAATTATATGTTTATAATTCATGCAGGCAAATGAACCAGCACAGCAGAAATGACAATCTCCTGGACTCCATGCAGGGGAATGGAGTATCTTTACCTTGTGCCCTGCATAGCATCACTGCGGCCAAGAACCAAATCAGTCTGTAGGTAGACAGATGACAGAAGGACCTCTCGAACACCTGAAGACATAGAGCAAAGTACAAAAATAGGCATTTGGATGTGGACAAAGCTAAGGAAGCTTCCATTTCATAGCTACCTCAGGGAATGTTGCAGCTAAAGTTTTTACCACCAGAGAACTTTGGTTTTGAGAAAGCAGAACCAGAGACTATAAATGAGAGAAATAACAGTGTGCTCAGGATATGGGAAGGGGAAAGCAGCAGTGTGGCTCCTTCAGTATGGCAACCCCTAGCAATTTGAGGCCTTGTTTCTAAAGCCACCATGGTCAAGAGCAAAATCCCAAAAGGCATAGGATCTCTGGGGAAGACAAAGGGCCATAAATACAACGAAAACAGGGACTACAAATGTCTGAGTACCCACTTCCAAAATAATCCACATCTGCTAATATAAATGTAATTCAGGGGAACCTCTTGTCAGAAACAAGTGACTGACTGCCTTGCAGTTTCCTGAGGCAGATTTTCCTGCAAATTCTAAAAATTTTATATGAATTATAACTTTTAAAAACCAGTAATAAAAAAAAAAACAGTAATGGCTTTATTTTTTCTTTATTGCTTTGTTTTCATGTGTCTGGGCATAAATCTTTGGCCGTTTTACAAATCATGTTGCTATTTCGGGGAATGTTATTCTGGGTATCATTTTGCTATAAAATGTGGGTAGAATGTAGACAGATTAATTTCTCTGTGAAGTAGCTCCAAGAATCTGTTCACTAGGTCTACATGAATGTGTTCATTATAAGGGATATAGACAAGAAATGTAACTTTTCCTTACATTTTTTCTGTATTTCTAGATTTTTCTATTAATTAAAAGTGTGTAAGAAATATGCATTTCCTGTATTTCTTTTAACTGAACTTCATCCCAATTAGAGTTAGATACTTAGTTTTGATGTTGCATTATCTTTATCAGTTCATATCCTGTAAACCCAACACTTCACAATTGTCCCAATGTCTGGCATTGCATCTATATTCCTGGTGGCTTACATAAAGCCAACCCTTGGGACAGGACTACTAATTCTTGGTAACAAACATCTATCCATGCTGGCATTCCCTAAGGCTGCTGTGTTCCCCTCAAGTTACCAGGGTATTCAATCTATGCAATTAAATTTTGTGCTCACAAGGTGTTCTCTCTTGTTCTTTCACGTATGCTCCTGATTCCGTGCTCCTGCATTTTTCCTGAGCTGGGCAAAGGGAAATTCTACAAGGCTCTCTGCCTAGACTCCCATGTATCTATCCACCTCTGTTTTACTGTTTCCTTTCTATGTTGGGTAGGCAAGTCTCTCTCACAGTCCCCCACCTCTGCTCCCCTCCCCACAGGAAAACAAAGCACAAGTGTTCTGTTCTTAGATGTTAACATTTATCTGTAAGTTTTATTTACCACCCTCCTGAATTCCCCAATCCTGGGAGGTAGACACAGAGTCTCCTTTTCATAACACAAACTGGTGTCTGAACCTAGACATTAGTCGGTCCCTCTTTGCTCTCCCAGAATAAAATGTGCATATTTTCTCTAGGTCCAGAAAAGCTGGTTCCTCCATCACCCTCTATTCTTCCCATTAACTTTCTCTGGAATAAATATGTTCTTGGTCTTTTAGCAGTTAAGCTTTTTGAAACTCAAGTGCTCATGTTCTTGCTATTTTAAAACTTTGGTCTCTGAAAATAAAAAGAGTTCTTTGACATTTCAATTTCACACCATTTTTTAAAAAAAGCATGATGACTCTCTCATGTGGAAATCCAAGTTTTAACAAAGGCTGTGGTGAGAAATGCAGAATTAATCCACTCTCATAGTGAAAGCCTGGATTTTAAGACCAGGGAGAAAGTAGACACACACCAAAACACAAGATGTGTGAAGTGGGAGCCAGAAATGTTTAAGAAACAAAGGCACAATGATTGGGGCAAGGGGAATTAGAAGGAAAGCCTAGCTATTAAATATATACATATTTACTCTGGCTGACTTGAATTGGGGCTAGCAGAAATACTAGATGTCTGAGCTATGACCAATGCTTTTACCTCTGTTGCATATAACAGTAAAAAGATTAAATGGACACAGACAACAGGGGGGTAAGGACACATATATAATAACTTAATCAATAAATAAAAAAATTAAAATAGATCAAATTTAAAAGAAATTAAATGAAGTAGTATACATAAAGATCCTAGAATAGTGACTGACACAAATAATCACTAAATAAATGTTGATGTTGGGGTTTTGGTCAAGATGGCAGAGTAGGAGGATGCTGTACTTGCCTCCTCTCATGATCACACCAAAATTAAAACTAAGCAATAGAACAATCAACCTGGAGAAACATCTAAAGACTTGCTGAATAGAAACCCTATAACTAAGGATACAAAGAAGAAGCCATGCCGAAAATGGTAGGGGGAGAGGGGGGGCAGAGATACAAAATGCGCTGGTTCTGTACCCATGAATCCAGAGGGATATCTTAGCTATAGAGATTGTCCCTGAGGCGCAAAGAGTCTCAGCCCCATGATGAGCTCCCCAGCTCAAAACACCAGTGCCGGGAAGAGAAGCCCACATAACACATGGTTGTGAAATCAACAGAGATTCCCGCCATCTGGGTGATATGAAAGGCTGCTAGAAACCCAGGTGTCCTCTTATAGGGCCTGCACACAAGGTCTCACTTGCAGGCACTCACCCTGGGCTGCCACACTGGGAGAATGGCTGGGGTGGGCAGGGGGAGTTCCAGAGGCATACACAGAGAAATGCGGGCTGGAGGGATACCAACCATTGCCTGTCCCCACACAGCCAAACTTGATTCTGTGTTGGCCTGGTGAACTCCATTAGCTCTACCCTGAGACCTCACCCCACTGCATAGGTCTTCAGGCTCTAGACCAGTGATGGCGAACCTATGACACGTGTGTCAGAGGTGACACACGAACTCATTTTTTCTTTGTTAAATGGCATTTAAATATATAAAATAAATATCAAAAATATAAGTCTTTGTTTTACTATGGTTGCAAATATCAAAAAATTTCTATATATGACACGGCACCAGAGTTAAGTTAGGGTTTTTCAAAATGCTGACACGCCGAGCTCAAAAGGTTCGCCATCACTGCCGTAGACGATGGTGGCTTTTTCTGAATAGCCTCAGGCTCAGCACAGGCACCAAACAGGAAACTGTATTAACCTGGTGAACACCACTCACACCACCCTGGTGACTCTCTGAGACCCTGCTTCAGCAATTTGCTAAGGTTCTTTCAGCAGCTGAACTTTAGGGCAAATAGTAGGTGGTAGTATATCTTAGCCTGCCTTGGCCTTCTGCTAACCTGGCTTCTGACTTGGTATTGGTAGAAACCTTAGTTCACAGCATGGCTTCTCCTACATGCATCCAGGTCCTGCACAGACAGCCACCTATTTAAAGAAATAATGACTGGAAATTTTCCTAGCCTGGTGAAGGCAATAGATATACAAATCCAGGAAACACAAAAAGTCCCAAACAAGATGAGCCCAAAGAGACCCACATCAAGATTATTATAATTAAAATGGCAAATGTTAAGACAAAGAGAGAACCTTAAAAGTAGTAAGAGAAAGACAATTCGTTACCTACAAGTAAACTTCCATAAAACTTTCAGCTGATTTCTCAACAAAAACTTTTCAGGACAGAAGGGATTGGCATGAAATATTCAAAGTAAAGAAAAGTTAGGACCTACTGCTGAAGGCTAAGACCAACAAGTAGTTAACATATAAATGCGAGAAGTCCGTCAGAAGGCTGATGGACTTTGATATTCAACAAGGGCTGGGAATCAGCATTGTATTACCCTGCTGCTGGCTAAATGGCTGAAGGCAATCCCCTAACCTAATAATCCTTTATTGTTTACCAAACCTTACCATTGATGTCTGTTTGCTTTGCTAAAGTGCAAATGTGTATGTGTAAATAAAAAGCTATGAGTCTGGACATTCGGGGAACCACTCCACTAGAGAGTAGATCTCCGCCTGGTTCTCCCATGCCTTCTAAATTTATATTTTTTGCCTACTATATTTATTTGTGTGTGGCCCCTTCTCCAGATCCTGAATCCTTGCTGCAAAAGGTTGTGGCAACCTAAAACCAAGACTACTCTAACTAGCAAAGCTAGCATTTAAAATTGAAGGAGAAATAAAGAGCTTCCCAGACAAGAAAAAGCTAAAGGAGTTTATTACCAACACACCAGTATTACAGGACATATTAAGAAGAACAAAGAAAAGAACCAGAAAAGGAACATAGTTACAAAACATAAAATGGCAATAAATATGCAACTATTCATAATACTTTAAATGTAAATGGATTAAGTGCTCCAATAAAAAACATAGGTAACTAAATAGATAACAAAATGAGACCCATACATATGCTGTAATCAAGAGACCCACCTCAGAATGAAAGACACACACAGACTAAAAGGGTTGGGAAAAAAATATTTCATACAAATAGAAAGAAAAAAAACCTGGGGTACCAATCCTTAGATCAGATATAAAACAGACTTTGAAACAAAGGCTATAATAAGAGACAAAGGAAGAGATTAAATAATGATATAGGGAGCCATCAAATAAGAGGATATAACCCTTGTAAACATTTATGCACCCAACATAGGAGCACCTAAATATATAAAGCAGATACTGACAGACATAAAGGGAGAGATCAGCAGTAATTCAGTCATAGCAGCGGAATTCAATACCCCATTGACATCAATGGATAGATCTTCCATACAGAAAATCAACAAGAAAACAATAGCCTTGAATGACACATGAGACCAGATGGATTTAATTAATATTAAATTAAAAGCAACAGAATATAGATTTTTTTTCAAGTACAAATCAAACATTTTCCAGGATAGACTACATGTTAGGCCACAAAACAAGTCTCAATAAATTTAGAATTTGGAAATCATTCAAGAATCTTCTTTGACCACAATGGTATAAAACTAGAAATGAATTATAAAAAGAAACTTGAAAACACACAAACACATAAAGGCTAAATAACATGCTACTGAACAATGAATGGATTATCAATGAGATTAAA